TTGGAGCCCTGTAAACCTCTAAGAGGCTGCCACGTGTCAAAGGGCTATTGGGCCACGTGTCTAGGGTGGTTTTTTTACCCTAAACAGAAGTCATCGATTGCTAAGTGCGAACAAATAAAGACGATGCCGGTTTCAGTTTATTATGGTAAACTACACTCTTTGTGGCAAGAATTGGATTATCATGAATCGTTAATATCTTGTTTTGCTACTTATTGTACTTGTGGTCGTTTACACGAAGAGTGGAGAGCACAAGCTAAATTGCATGATTTCTGGATGGGTTTGTATCCTCCTTTTTATGCTTCTTTTTGGACACAAGTTCTTTCCTAAGATCCTTTGCCCAATCTCTAACGCGCATATCAATTAGTATCATAGGAAGAAAGTGTTCGTTCATCACGGCAAGACAATGAACACAAGCCAATTGATGCTCTTGGTTTTGCTGTTCGTACAAATGCAGGGAAAGGTCGTGGTTCATCAGAGAGGCCCGTTTGTTCTAAATTCAAGAAACTGGGTCACGAAGCCTCAATTTGTTGGGTTGACTCCATTTGGAGCCACTATAAGAAGCGTGGGCATGAATCTAGTTGGTGTTATGAGTTACTTGGATACCTGAAGGGCGGTTTGATGGCAAGAAGTCTTCCTCGGTAAGTCATGGGCGTGGTCAGGTGCGTGCAATGCAATTACTAGTGGAAACTCCTCTACTTTATCAACCACACCTACGGTTTCGGCGTTTGGTCAGATGTTTACAACGGAATAATGGAAGGCTATTTCGGTTGTTATTGATAACACTAAAGTACTCGAAAACCGTTTAAACGGTAAGTTTGATTATGACATCTTGGATAATTGATACCGGAGCAACACATCATGTCATTGGTGAAATACCTTGGTGGTTTGACACGCACAATTTTGAGTGTCCAGTTGGTTTGCCGAATGGTGAACAAGTACTTGCTACTTTGGTTGGCTTTGTTCATTTGTTGAACAAAATTATTCTCACTGGAGCTCTTTAAGTTCCGAATTTGAGTTGCAATTTACTTTCAGTTTCGCAACTTAATGATGATTTACAAAGCAGTGTCCAATTTAATTCTCATATTGTTGCTATACAGGATCAAACGAAGGAGCTGATTGGAACGAGAGTTAGGAAGGATGGACTATATATTACTTTGGCATACCAGAAGTTTCGAAGCGTGTGTCAACAATTGAAGCACCGTCAAATTTGGAGTTGTGGCATCGTCGTCTCGGACATCCTTCCAAAAAAGTAGTTAAGTTGATTCCTCATGTTAGAAATAATAAAGACAGTTTAGATAACGGGTGTGAAGTACGTATGCGTGCTAAACATCCTAGAGACAAATTTCCTTTTAGTGATAATAAAGCCACTAGAATTTTTGGAAAAATTCATTGTGATTTATAGCTTCCATATCACATGTTTCGTCATGTAGACCTTGCTATTTTTTGACAATTATTGTTGATGATTATTCAAGAGCTGCTTGAATTTATTTATTGGTTGATAAATTAGAATTATTTCATATGTTTATGGCCTTTGTAGCTGTAGTTGATAGACAATTTTCACAAACAATTAAAGTAGTTCAAAGTGACAACGGAACTGAGTTTAATTGTTTGCTTGACTATTTTAATGCAACTAGGATTTTATTCCAAACTTCGTGTGTGGGTACTCCAGAATAAAATGGGAGAGTGGAGAGGAAACATTAACATATTTTGAATGTTGGACGAGCTTTACGGTTTCAAGAAAATTTGCTCATTTATTTTTGGGGAGAATGTGTTCTTGCTGCGGCTCATTTAATTAACCGTACTCCTACTCCTTTCTTACACAATAAAACTCCTTTCGAGGTTCTTTTTTATAAACCTTCGTCTTTTGATGCTATTAGAACCTTTGGATGTTTGTGGATTGCTCACAATAAAAAAAACTAAGGGAGATAAGTTTGCTTGTCGGAGCCAAAAATGCTTTTTTCTAGGATACCCGTTCGGCAAGAAGGGGTGGAAATTATTTGACCTTGATAGGAAAGAATTTTTAGTGTCAAGAGATGTGAGATTTGTTGAAGACATTTTTCCGTTTGGTTGTTCGGAGGACGTTAATATTACGTACTATATTAATGAAGACAATAATGTGTGTAGTGATTTTGTTGAATATAATTTGGATATTATGACAACATTGATATTGAGGGGTGTGATAGTGGGGATGAAATCATTGCACATGGACATGAGAAATTAGAGTTATGCCATGAGCAAGTCATTTGGCAACAGCACACTACCAACACATCTGGACAGCTCGCTGGAAATCCAGCGCTTGATGGGCCTGCCCAGCAGCCCAGCGTTGACCCTTTTGATCAGCCCGCTGGATCTGCAGCGCCACCAGATGGGCCATCATCTCCTTCTGTTACAGATCAGCGCAATATGGGACGTGGTTTTCGAGAGAAACATCCAAATGTTTTGTTTCGAGATTATGTGACACATACGGTTTTTGCTAATAGTCCATCATCCGACTCTTCATCATCCAATCACTCATCAAGTACTCCTTATCCTCTACCACATTATATAAATTATGATAATTTTTCCGGAAACTATCGAAAATTTCTTGCAGCTATTATCAAGGGTAAAGCCCCTAAATCTTTTAAGGAGGCAATGAAATATGATGGATCGATGGCGTCAATCCATGAAAGAAGAAATTTAATTCGTGTTGTAGAGGACAACGGTACATGGACCTTGGAGCACCTTCCTCCAGGGAAACTTGCTCTTGGCAGTCAATGGGTTTATAAAACCAAATATATGTCAAATGGAGATGTTGAGCGCCTAAAATCACGATTAGTGGTGTTTAGTAATCATCAACAAGCGGGAATTGACTATGATGAAACATTTTCTCCCGTTGACAAGATGATTACAGTTCGTGCTTTTCTTGCAATAGCAGCTTCCAAGAATTGGGAATTGCATCAAATGGATGTTCATAATGCTTTCTTGTATGGTGACCTTGATGTGGAAGTCTATATGAAATTACCCCCTGGTTTGGAGAGTTCGGATCCATCCTTGGTGTGTCGTTTGCGTAAGTCGTTGTGTGGCTTAAAGCAAGCACCTAGATGTTGGTTTGCAAATTAAAGTTGGTGTCGACTTTGAAAAGGTATGGTTTTCTTCAGTCTTACTCAGATTATTCTCTTTTCACATTAACTAAAGGCAGTGTTCAAATTAATGTCTTAGTTTACGTTGATGATCTTATTATTTCTGAGAATGATTCCGCTGCGCTTACCATTTTCAAAGCTTATCTTAGTGATTGTTTTAAAATGAAAGACCTTGAGGGTCTCAAATATTTCTCAGGCATAGAGGTTGCTCGTAGTTCATCTAGTTTATTTTTATGCCAACGCAAGTACACTTTGGATATTATTTCTTAAACAGATTTGTTAGGAGCAAAGCCTATTGGGTTTACTAATGAAAAAAATCAAAAGTTAGGTGATCTTGAAACTGGAGAACTCCTAGAGGATCCCGAAGCCTATTGTAGGCTTTGTGGGGCGCTTGATTTATCTTGTGGTCACTCGGCCAGATTTGGACTATTTGGTTCATATTTTGTCTTGGTTCATGCAAGAACCGCGTGTTGAGCATTGGGAAGCAGCTCTACGGGTGGTGCGTTATTTAAAAGGCACTCCAGGTCAGGGCATTTTATTGAGAGCGGATAGTGAATTGACTTTGGAAGGATGGTGTGATTCGGATTGGGCAGCTTGTCCTCTTACTCGTCGCTCCTTGACAGGTTGGCTCACTTTTTTTCTAGGGCGATTCCCATATCTTGGAAGACAAAGAAACAACATACAGTGTCTTGGTCTTCCGCATAAGCTAAATATCGATCTATGACTGCAGTGACTTGTGAATTAAATTAAAGTGGCTAAAAGGTTTGTTGTTGAGTTTGGGTGTGCATCACCCTAAAGCTATAAAGTTGTTTTGTGATAGTGAATCAACATTAAATATAGCAAAGAATCTTGTTTTTCATTAGCGGACAATGCATATCGAGGTTGTTTGTCACTTTGTTCGAGATGCAATAAATAAAGGTTTGATATCTCCTACTCATGTATTGACTTCATCACAGTTGGCAGATATTTTCACTAAGGCACTCGGCAAAACAAAGTTTGAATTTCTCCTCTCCAAGTTGGGCATTTTCGAATCTTATGCTCCAACTTAAGGGGGGTATTGAGATATTATTAGAAATATTAGTAAAGATATATTTTATGCTTATTAGGATATATTTTGGTAGATTTCCTAGTTATTTCCTAACTCTAGAATTACCATATGATAGAATTTCCAAGAGTTAAGGTTCGTAGCTTGTATTATAAATTGGGTGCCTCCGCTTTTTTGGAAACATAGATTTGCATATTCACTGATTTTACAATACCCTTTACTCTTTTCCCGCTACTCCTTCCACTTCATTGTCCCCTAAACTCAAACAAATACACTACACCCTTACAATTACCCATATAGTCACCACCTGCTGTCGCCCCATGCCCCAACATCAACCTCCCATAACAACCACCACCGTCACCCCCAACACCATAACAAATAAAGGGCTTCCTCACCTGCTCTCATAGCACCGCCATGGCACCATCTTTGGTTGGAGGTAAAAAGCATGGGAAATTCTATTTCCTAGGAAATGGATATAGCATGTGTTGTTTGGTTGGCACAAATTTATCAATGTGGGGGAAATGGAAATTCCAAGGGAAGTTTCAATTCCCATGAAACATGGGAATTCACTTACCAAGCCCCTCCCTTGGTAAGTCACAATTTCCATGATTATTATGAGGCCTACTTGCATTATTATCACTAATAATTTAATCTCTTTCTTTCTCTCTCCAAATTTATTACCTTAAATAAAAAATTACAAGTTAACTAATAAAACATAGGAAATAAATTCCTAGGAAATCAAAGTTCCTACATTATTAACCAAACAAACTTAAGGTAATTCCTAGGAAATGGACAAGGGAAATTACTTCTCATGAAGTATAATTTCCTATAGGAACTCATTTCCCATATCAACCAAACAACACCCAAGAAGCGTCCAATGTGATACCACATTTATTCAGTCCTCTAATAAGCCTCATATAACCATTTTCGCCCCATGAGTTCTTCAACAACCAATAATCAGTCCCATCCGTACTTGTGCCATACTCGATAGCTGTAACAGCATGATTAATGTCGTCGCCACACTCCCCTTGGAAGACTCCACTTTGGTAGTTATTGAACTCAAACCCGCAACCATCGATTCCAACCGAGGCTTTGAGTAGGGCAGCCTCGTCTTTTGGTGGAATTGATTCATAGCCGTTTATTGTCACAACACTTGTTTTAGCTTGGCATTGACTCTGATTACCATTGAATGCCGTGTATGGGTACTCGGCTTCTGTTGATATACCTTGGTTTTTTTCGATGAATTCGAAAGCATTCGTCATATCACCACCATCACAACTGTCTTCTTGTACACAATCAACAAGTTCCTTCTCTGAAAGTGAGATTAATTGTCCAGTTTTTATTTTGTTCAGCCCTTCTACTGCCCCAATTGCTGAGAATGCCCAACAACTAACTTCCTGCAATTTTTAAACAAATTATAAAAGGAATTTAAATTTAAGGCATGTAAATTAACAGTAACAATCAAAATGTGTAACTTTTTTCTTTATTTTCATACCACATTGCCCTTGGTCTTTTATCCCTGTAACAGCTCCGTGTTCTCTCCAATCCATTGAAGACGGGATTTTATCACCAGTAAGGTTTTCGTACCTAAACTCTTTTGTCATTGAACCACAAGACATGGAGTCAAATTGCTTTTTATAACCAGTGTGAGTAGCTACAAACTCCTCAGTGGTTAAATCAGTGAAGGCATTAGTACCTAATGTGTATAATATATTTGATGGTGCATTACCATTGAGATTTTCTATACGCTCAACATTCCTTTTGAATATGTTGAAACGCCTCTCCTTCTCTATTTCATCCTTATAGACTCGTCCATGTTGAGCAATCCAAAGCTCATGCCTCTCTCTTATTGATAAGTCTTTGTGATAGTTGAGAGGACGAGCCATGGCTTGTGTAGCACAAAGCCCCAAGACAAGTACTAAGGCTAAGCATAAGAGTTGGGAGGATTGTATTGTGAAACCCATTAAGATTATTAAAACAGTAAGAGTTTATTGTATGTGACGTAGGATTATATTTTTATAAATGCTCTTAATTAAGCTCTTAGTTTTTTTGTTTTTTTTTTTTTTTTTTTTTTTGACGGGAAATTAATTAAGCTCTTAGTTGGATGAACAAAATGCTATTAAAGTGCGTATCTTTTATAGGCAATCTTTAATGTGAAAAGTACTCATATTATTAACCAAAGTCTACGTTGAAAATTAAAGTTCATGCAATGGAAATACATGTTTGACGTAGAATCATTATTCTTTGACTTTCCTTCATGATTAACTTGCGGGTCAAAACATCTTGTTAATGTAAATTCTCTTTCGATATAAGAATTAGCTTATAAATCATTAAACAATACGAGTAAAGTAAAGGTGTCCACTGCAGACAATTAGACATTATTCTAAGAAATTGGCAAATGTGCATATTGATAATTTAGGAATTACAATACTATTAAATGTATAATGAATGTTCCATACATGTATAACTGTATAAAATTGATTTAGATTAGCCTTTTTTTTTTTTGGTTAATTTACTATTCCTTTTGCATCACTTACAAATATGTAGAGATGTCAATTAAGTTGTTCGTATGGAGTTTAGGTTGGGTCATGTTTAGGTGAGCAAGTGCTTAGGTTTGGTTTAGTTCATGTCATAATTGATTGTATTGCCAATAATCTAGCTTATAAAGATAAATTTATTATTTATCATCAGAAAACGAAAATTAGATACATTGATTGCCAAGTCAATTCATATTGAAATGTGGATACGTCTCGATCCAAGTATTTCGATTCAAATAATAGATACGAAGTACGGAGACTAGTTTTCCATATCAACAAAAATGCAACGTATATATAAGACATCATCCATAGTCATATGATGTTCATTGGAGTGTGTGAATAGATAATAGTGTCATACGTGTAGACTATGCAATATTAAATGAATGAAGGATGTATATAAGTTGGAATCCCGCACACTTGAGCAAATACCCTTAAAAAATAGAAAAATAATAAGGAAATTCTCACCCTTAAAGAGCAAGAGCCTCTTAAGCTCCTAGCTAGTGAGGTTTGATGACTTTAATCAGTGTCGTAGAAGAGGGAGTGCAAAGAGGAGTAACACTAGGCGCATATCGCTTATATGTTATGTTCCTATATAGGCGGGTAAAAACGTAAATTTATAGGGTAAATAAGTCATTTGACATCCAGAATTGTACTTTTTATGGTTACAGCGATACATTTTTTGTATTATTATGTATGTATATTGTACCATTATGTCTTAGTAGTACTATTATATCTCACAGTGGTATAATATTTTAATGTACCATTTACATACTTATTTGTATACTAGCCACTACAATATACTTGACAGCTTGTCCCCACCACAACTTCAACTGTCATTACACATGGCCTCGCTGCTTGAAGGGCCTCAATCTTTTTTCTTTTTTTTTTCTTTTTTTTTTTTTAAGTTGGAATTATATATGAATGGATGGTTCTTTATTGGTTGATTTCAAATTTTAGAGTTTTAATTTGCAAAAGAAATAATATTGTGTTAAATTTTATGGAGTAGAATAACTTTATTTAAGGGGCCCATTTTGTATTTAACATATTTAGGATGGTGTTGACTTTGATCACACAACCTTATGAATTATGATCGCTAGATGCAAACTTCTCACTAAATTAGCCTTTAGTTTATGAAGTATAATATGTATATAGACTACAAGTAACTAAGAATGGATTGATACTCATCTTTAAATTCGTTAATATTTTGTTTTTTTTATCCAAATGAGGAATACATCCAAAGACAAAAGAAAAGGCTACAAAAAGACAAAACAAAAAGGAAAAAAAGCAACACAACCCACAGAAAGTAGGTAAGGGCTCAAGTTTGCCGAGTAACTAGTCGAGGCCTAGTTACCCCTCTTGCGTCCTCATCTAAAATTCTGCCAAGTTCTACAAGAATAAAGTTTACAATACAAAAATTAGTGTCTTTCAAGACTCCACGGTTAGCCAACCAATCCGCCGCACGATTTCCTTCTCTATAGATGTGGGCCACTTTCACTTCCCAGTTTCCATTACGAAGCATATGCAATCAGTCTTTAATTTCTTGAATGTTTTCCCCTCCTGTAGCTTCGCCTTTGCTTAGTATTTGGACACAGGCCAGATTGTCCAGCTGAACTTCGAGTTTCATAATTTGCAAGCTTTGTACAAGTTGAATACCTTTAGAAAGTGCTAAAATTTCAGCTCGTATGGAAGTGCATCTACCGAAATTCGCTGTAAAACCAGATACAAATCTTCCCTCATGGTTACGAATAATCCCTCCACCTCCTGCAAGCCCAGGGCATCCTTTGGCTGCTCCATCACAGTTGAGGACATACTCATCAAATGCAGGGGGGATCCAAGAAACATTACTTGTGATCTTTTGTTTTGGAGTTTGATTTAGCTCATTATCACTCAGTGATAGACTGCGCTTAGTTTCCTCTACTCTTATTCCGAGGAAGGCTCCCATATCAACTGGGATTTCATCTCTTCTATTGAAAACATGGCAGTTGCGCCAACGCCAAATCCACCAAACAACCAGCCCAAAAATTATAGGCCAATCCTCGGCCATATAGCTCTCTGTGCCAGCAAGGTTCAGCTCTAGCCACTCCTTGATATTTCCGTGGAAAATTTGAGCAAAGTGTGGTGGGAGTATTAGTTTGCGCCACACCATCTTAGCAGCAAGGCAATCCCGTAATATGTGAAGGGAAGTTTCCTCATGTGCACCACAAACGTAGCACGCAGGGGAACTATTAAGATTTCTCTTGTATAGGTTTAAGTTGCACAGTATACGCTCATGGCAAGCTAACCATACGAAATCTCGTACTCTTTGCTGAATTGGGGCCTTCCATATTAGATCCCAGCAAGTTTCATCTAACACGTTAGATTCATGTCTCATAATTCGAAGAGCTGATTTAATCGTAAACCTTCCCTTTGAATCCCCTTTCCAATACACCAAATCTCCTACACTAGGATCAACACGAAGCTCGTGATTTTGTATTAACTTGAGAGTATCTTGCGAGAGGAATGGAGCAAAGACATTCCATCGCCATCCACAATTTTCCTCCCACATCTCAGCAACAGTTGCTCCAGCAAGTTCTAGGGGAATTGGTTGTGTAACCAGATTGCTTAAAGGTACACCTCCCACCCATTTATGATCCCAAAACAAAGTGTTGTTCCCGTTGCCTACTGCAATTTGCATACCATCTCCAAGAAGCTTTGCATTTTCAGTAATCCCTTTCCATACATTTGACATCCCGGGTTTAGGCTCAAACATATCTATATCACACCTTCCCTTGCAATATTTAGCGCGCAATACTCTCGACCATAGGGAGTGAGGTTCAGTAAGCACCCTCCATCCCAATTTTGTGAGAAAGGCAGCATTAGCTTGTTTTACCGAGTAGATACCTATACCCCCTTGCTCTTTCGGTTTCTGAAGAGTCTCCCATGCAAGGAGGTGAATCTTGCGCTTGTCTTCACTCCCACCCCAAATAAATCTTCTTGTCTTTTTATCTATTTCATCACAAGTCGTGCGAGGAATTTTGGCTGTTTGCATAGAATAGAGGGACATGGTAGACAGAGTGGATTTAGCTAGAGTAATTCTTCCAGCAAGAGAAAGATATTTAGATTTCCAGCCAGCCAAGCGTCTTTCAATTTTTTCACAAAGGTGACTATAGGTATCTTTGGTAACTCTACTTGTGAGTGTTGGCATCCCTAGATACAACCCAAGGTCCTTTGTTGTTTCCATGCCCAAGCTGATTCCTATCTCACTCTGTAAATCAGTCTCAACATTATTGGAAAAGAACACTCGGGACTTAGGCAAACTCACCTTCTGGCCTGATGCATGGCAGAAACGATCCAGGCACGTTTTGATTAAACAGGCTTGATCAACAGTGGCTTCTGCAAACAGGACTATATCATCAGCGAAGAAGAGGTTCGATAAAAGGGGCCCATCTCTACTTGCTCGAATAGGTTTCCAATATCCATGCACAATAGCAGCCTCTATAACTTGATAAAGGCGTTCCATACACATCACAAATATATATGGGGAAAGGGGATCTCCTTGTCTAACACCACGACTTGGCTTGAAACTTGCGGAGGGTTCTCTGTTCCACAATACTTGAAGCGATGTCGTTGTAACACACTCCATAATAACTTCTATCATAGTGATGGGGAGATTCATTTGTACAAGGGTATCACGTATGAAGGACCATCTCAGTTTGTCGTAAGCTTTTTCAAAGTCGATCTTAATGGCCATATAACCCCTTTTCCCTTGCTTTCTCCTCATTGTGTGGAGTATTTCTTGCATGATCACTATATTATCCGAGATTTGCCTACCCGGGACAAAGCTTGATTGGGTGTTTGAAATCAAATTAGGCAGAATTGGTTTGAGTCGATTGACTATAACCTTTGTAACAATTTTGTACGCCACATTACACAACCCAATAGGCCGGAACTGAGAAGCTAATTCCGGTTTCTCAAGTTTTGGGATGAGAGCAAGGAAAGTTTCATTAAATTTTTCAGGCATACCCTTACCTTCAAGAATTGGGATTATAGTTGAATAGACACTGTTTGCCACCAAGTCCCAGTTTTTTTAGTAAAAAATAGCTTGGTATCCATCTGGACCAGGTGCCTTAAGAGGAGCCATAGCCTTCACCATAGTATTAATTTCAGCTCATGAGTAGGGTAGGGTAAGCTGTTTCCAGTCTTCATGTCGAAGCTCAGGGAATACGTCTTGAGGAACATCAAATCGTTCTGGCTCTCCTTCTTCTGAGAATAGAGTTGAAAAATAGTCCACTATATGATTCTTGATCAACTCTTTATCATGCATCCATTCTCCATCACTTCCTTTAATTGCCACAATACAATTTTTCCACCTCCTAACAATTGTACTAAGATGGAAAAAGGTGGTGTTTCTGTCTCCATCTTTTAGCCAATCAATCCGGGATTTTTGATACCATAAGGTCTCCTCCCTAGAAAGTACTTCATCAAGATCCCGACGAAGCTTACTCTCTAGTTTGATTAGTCCTCTGTCTTGGCGAGTGGATAGTAGTTTTTGGATGCCACCTAGTCTTGCCATTAGCGCTCTTTTCTGCTTGAAGATGTTACTAAAGGTGTCTCTGTTCCAATCTTGTAAATCCAGTGATAGTTTCGAAAGAGCTGACATTAGTGACCTACTATTGTCCCATTTCTGAGCAACAAAATTACGAAATTTCTCATGTGTCATCCATGGTGCTTGAAACCTGAATGGTCTATGTAGAGCTTGCAGTGGAACAAACCCATTTGGGGATATAAAAATGGGGCAATGATCCGAATGAATTGCAGTTAGATGTTTCATGGAAGCCTTATCAAATCGCACAGCTCATTCCTCATTACACAATGCTCTATCAAGTCTCCTACTCTGCCTCGTTTCCAATGAGAGTCCACGAGCCCAGGTGTGGGCTGCCCCTGAGAACTCCACCTCAATGAGCTCCATCTCATCAATCCAACTGTTAAACATTGCTGATCTTCTGTCCGTTTCTTTGCAAGAGGTATTTCTTTCCGAGGGGAATCTTGTGACATTAAAATCACCTGTAATCATCCATGGTTTATTATTTTGCTCAGCAAAATTCTTTAATTCTTGCCATAGATCATTTCTTTTCAAGGGGTCCGGACTTGCATAAATTGCCAAAAAATACCATGGCATAGCTCCATCTCTCGAAAATTCCATGGTAATGTGTTGATTGTGTTTAACAATAGGGATGACTGTAACACTATCTGTTTTCCAATACACCCAAATTCCGCCACTAAAACCCATGGCATCGACCCTTTCATGTCCATCATAGCCAATGATATTTGCAATTTTGACTGCTTGCTCCCCACCCATATGAGTTTCCACAAGAGTCAAAACATTCGGTCTATGAATTCGAATTAGATCTTTTAGTGATCTAATGAAATTTGCACTCCCAGCCCCTTGTACATTCCATATCATACAAGTGATTGGTAGGGTATCCGGAGCTAAGTTTGGTAGACTATCTTCCATAGACAATGGAATACAGGGAAGGCTTGAGATAAAAGCTAGCAAGCGCTGCAACTCAACTGGAACCTTTAGCGTGGCCACCAATTCCTTGGGGATTGAGGTTGGTGGTAGGAACGATTCCAAGTTCATCTCCAATATGTGAGTCATTGGATTTGCAATCAACATGTAGGGTTGTTCCAATGTGTGTCCCACAAATAGAGTTTTCTCAGGGGGGATGTTTAGAGTGATCAGGGAAGGTGTTGGGAACATGAATGATGGATTAAAATTGCGTAGAGTTGGCTTGACTTGGCTTCTCAATTCCTTGTTGTGTCGCAAATTTGGCCTGAGAGATAGCTTGATGTTTTTCTTCAGCACAGAATATCGTATTTTCCTTACCTATTCGCATGTAGGTGCTTGGTTTGACAAGGGGCACACTGGTGTTGACTTCTCTTTCCTTGAGAGGGGCGTTAGAGTCATTATTCTGTTCTTGATAATTTTTGGAAACAAGATAATTTGGTTTTGATATATGACAGGTAGTAGATAGTGTTTTGATTCTATCTTTGGGGAAAGAAAAATCCTTTGGTTTATCTCGCTGAGAATTATTCCCCAAATCAATTGGTGAATAATTAGTTTCCTCCTTATTCTGCATAATCTCGTCCAAATCTTCTTGTTCTTGATTCTGCTCCTTATCATGTTCATCAGTTTCCATCTCCAAAGCTGAGAATCTTGACCCATTTCCATGTTTTCCTCTAAACAAATTAAATTGGTTATTCTTTCCTTTTTCAGCTCTAGTTTGTTCAACCCTAGTGCTATTTTTGTCAAGATTGTTCAGGCCACCAGAATTGGTGGTGGGTGCTGCGTCTAGGTTGCTTACCCCTTTGGTAACCTTCTTCCTCACCGGTTTTTTCACCAGCATCCATGATCCAAAGTCTTCTACTTCCTCTGGTTTGCGTGTTTGTTCATGCAGTGGATTTGCATGAATAATCATATCATTGGCATGACCCTTTGCAGCAAATGTTTCACACTCATCAGCAATATGATCAAGTTTTCCACATTTAAAACACACCATTATGATTCCTTCATATTCTCCCCTTCAACCAAAATTTTGACAGGATGGGTTTGGTAAGGTCTATCTCAACACTAAGTCTTGTGAACTGACCACGCTCAGCCTTGCTGTAGTTCTATCTACTCTTAAGACTTTACCTATCTTGGACCCAATCTTGTTGAGAAAATTGATGTCAAAATATTCAACTGGTAGATTGGGGATACGAACCCACGCTGTAAGTACTTTGATGGGCGATTCATCTGGTACAAAATTGGGTACCCATTTCCGAATTGTAAGATAGTTATCATCGAGCAACCATGGTCCTTGAGTGAGCACGTAGTTGTTAATTCACCCTTAATGTTCCATTTCTTCTTCAAGCGTCTCATCAAGCCCATATAACCTAATCTGCCACTAAATAGTTTGATAATCAGGGAGTTCCTCCATGGTTGCCTGAGTCTCAATTTCTCCTCTTTTGTTAATTGAATTACAGGGCAGCGCTCATCCTTGAGGATATCTTCTGGTACCAATTCATCATCTGAAATATCATCTACATCAATGTCAATGACCTCAGTTTCAGTATGAGTTCGTGGTAAAATATGATTCTCACCACGGAGTATATCCTTAAATGACTGTATGCTGTTAGGCATTTTAGAGTCCGGATTTTCCTTCTGGGTTTCCATAGTTTTTTCTTCATCCAAATTTCTAGCTTCTGGCATTTCTTCATCCATTTGATTATCAAAGATGAATTGAGTGATGTTCGTTTTAGTTTTTTATTTGATCGGACAATTTGGTCATGTTCTTCAGCAGATTTGTTATCAGCGTCAGATTTCTTGAGGGTTTTGGTAGAGAGCATTTTGAGAGTTTTTTTTTTTTTTAATATTTTGTAATATAAACAATAATAATAAATATAGACTACAAGTAATTAGGAAGGTTATTTTTGTTGTTTCAAAAAAAAAGGAAGGTTATTTTTGTAAATATTTTTTCCGCCACTTTATATAAATTATGAACATTCAAATATTATACACGTGACTAATTAATCAGATACTGTTGGGGGATCAATTCTTGAGAGTTGAGATGGACTTGTTTCTCGAATGCTGGATGTTGTTTTTGAATAGTTAAACACGTCGCAAGGTCAATAGACCAAAGATTGAGGAATAGTAGTACTTAAAATTAACTTTATTACAATAATATTAATTGTCAGCTCTTTACAATTACACACGGTTTCATTACCCGTCCTGTTATTATTTTTGATTAACTATTACTAAAATAAAATGTTGCTGACGTCATTATTATTCACATGTCACTCTCATAATAAATTTTTCCCGTCTAAATGCAAGGATTTTTTTTTTTTTTTTTTTTTTTTGGTGTTACCATATTTAACAAGTTTGAAATTTGAATATTAGAAATTTCTACATTACAACTAAAACCTATCAATTTATCTTTAAAAATGAAACAATTGTAAATAACACACTAATAAATGGACTCTTACATTGAAATATGTATTAAATGACGTTAAACAAGTAATATATCATAATTTTGATTAAAATCTAAAACTATAAAATTACAAATATTTTTGTACAAGATGCATAATTTTTATTTATATTTATCCATTTTTATTTTAAGAAAGTACAAATTATAAAAATAAATTTTATATACACCGTGCATGGCACTGGTTCTAACCTAGTATAACATACAATGAGAACGTCTCTTCTTCTCAAACTAGTCGTATTTTCGTTTTTCCTGCTCCAATCAAATATTGGTTTTTGAGAGCAAACCACACTAAATCTCTTATTGGTTTTATTTTAGAGAAAAACCAAACTTATATCCAAAGGAGCAAAATCATGCTCGAATCAAATCACAAACCCGGTCTCACGGCACAAGGAGAACCAACAAATAAGCCCGTTAAAAGGAGAACCAACAAATAAGTCTTGCCTCACGGCATAAGCATAACCAATATATTTCGTCTGACAACACAATAGAGCGGTTTCTTTTTTTCAAACTCAAGTCTTGTCAACTACTCGGAGTACATCCTCACTTTCTCAGTTCTAAACATCAAACTCAATCACTTCCCTAACACTGAGAAAAAAACATGAATGCCATTTCCTTAATTCAACCATTAACAAAAACACCAAATGTACTGCAAAATCTGAAACACCATTCCAGAAATCTCTCTTTTTTATCATCTCAAACTTTTGCTGTCAAATTTCGTAATTCCAATTATTCAAACCTCAATAAATCACCATTTTCCACCACAATTTCCGCCATTTCCACCGCTCACCAATCTAGGGTTCCTCCCGCACTTCCATTGCCGCCTCCTCCGATCACCAAGGTCACTCATTTTCTCTCTCCTACAAATATTATCAATTAATCTATTTATTTTAAGAATTATGGCTTCGATTGATCAATTATTTATACTTGTAGTTTTGTTTTGCTTTTCTTGCATCAATCAATTTGTAAATTAGATATGATGATGACTTCCTTATGTTGCGATTAGGGTTTGGAATTGGCAATTTATTTATTACTTCAAGCTATTGTGTACTGTACTTCGTATTACTTAAATCTACAATGAGAGAATTTTGGGCAACGTTTTCAATTTAATCATTTGATGCTCTACATTTCCATTGCGAAACGTATAGCAACATTTAGTCTGCGTTATATATAAACGGAATTAGATGATATTGAGCTACTTGGTTAGCTTAGTGTGGTTCTTATACGAGTTGAAAGTAGTCAAGCTTTTAAATCCATTATTACTTGGTTAGCTTGGTGTGATTCTTATACGAGTTGAAAGTAATCGTGCTTTTAAATACAATATTAATCCGTAGCTTGGTGTGGTTATTATAGCTATCCTCGTAACTCATTAAATAGGTAAATATATTTCCCCTTGAACTTGATATTGTTGGGGTTGGATGTTATAAGGAAAGGCTTCTTAATACCCCTGTTAGTAGTTGAAGACTATAACAAATAAAACAGTACAAAGATAATTCCGTTGAGAACTATAGATCGTAAATAGTACTATACGACTCATTAGTAGTACCTTTGATATTGTTAGTATTACCATTGAGATCTATAGCATTACCATTTTCGAGTAAGTCGTTAGTAGTACAACTTAGGTATGAATTTGCTCAAACTACTCGTAATTTTTTGTGCTTAGGGTATAATATTACCTTTTATCCTCGAGGTCAATATCAGGGATAGTTTGGTAATTTAACAATGTCATATAATGGATTAATTTGTCAAGGAATGTGCTTATACTATTTAAGGACTATTGTAATCCTTATTAGCCCTTGAAAAAAAACTTGACAAGCCAGTCCATTATTTGATTTGTCCTTAGGGACCAAAGGTCATATAGCATGAGTCAAGTATGACACGGGACTTAACCTAGTATATTGTAAATTTGTAACAAAGAACACATTTTTTTTCTAGATTTCTAGACGAGCTTTTGGAGTTCTTCGAAAATCTATAAAACAATAGAGATTTTGTTGCACATTTTGAGCTTTCACACTGTTTTTTTTATATCTTTTGACTTATTGCTTTTAAGATTATTTGGTTTATCTAGAATTTTCTCTTTGAAAAAAAGAAATTTAATTAAAATATAAAAAAAGTCTTAAAAACTCTACCAGTGTGTTAGGATCCAACCTCTTTCATCATGTATTTTGCTTTCTTATGTCTTTACTTAGTTTATGTTAGACTTTCAATGTATTCGTGTAAGTAGGTTAGGCACTAGAGGAGATTATTGTGTTACTGTCATTTCAGTGTTCACTAGTATTTCTCCATGTAAACAATATAAAGCTCTATATGGAACGATGGTTGAATGAATGAAAAAGCTCCTATTCGGGTTGCCTTGCTTTAAGACTTGTGTGTTGATTTAAGCCTTTATAGATATTGTGCTTGTCTTGTTTTAAAGCTCCCCACCAAACCAAGAGACTCTTAAAGACGCCTACATCCTTGTCGGTTCCGCTTGTGCCCGCTTCGAAGTATCGGCCGTCACAAGCCCCGACCCTGCACCCGTTACTAACGATTGCCTCATTGAGATACCTTTGGTCCGTGTTGTTGTGTGCCCACGAACCTCTCTCACTCTAGGCTTGCGTTCTTGTTTCTAAAATATAAGAGCGCGCCGCACGAT